GGGGGGGGGGGGGGGGGGGGGGGGGGGTTCAAAAATTTAAAAGAAACAACATCAAATTAAAAATAACAACAATCTGAGGGAACAACATACCATCCATCCACATCGCCCTCCAATTGGAAGGGGTCTACCCAAATATCCTAACCCAAGGCTTGGGGGAAGTGTCAGGTTTTTAAAAAACCGCTTGAAGGTGGGCATATAGGAGCTATTCATATTTCTGGGGGGTGCTATTCCAAAGGAGAGATGCAGTGGAACTGAAGCAGTGGAGTAGCATCTACCAAAACTTTGCTAATTCATGAATAAGCCATATTTTTTTTACAATTTTACCTATGGAATGTATCTTTACCTTGCTCATGCACTCAGTTCTGATCACAAAAAAATAATAATAAAATCTATTTTATTATTCATTTTTCTGAATTTCTGCTGGGTGTGATTTTATAATTTGGAGAAAGTATATTTTATTTTTAACTGTAGGAAAGTTATCATTTCTTATCACCACGACTACAAGATAAGAAACGTGTAAGTACTCACAAGGCACTGAATTTAGAATTACTTCTTGTCCTTGAATCATTTTTATCTTGCATTCTAGGTCACTTGGATGCATTTTGTATGAGATATGTTGTTTGGATCATGCATTTACTGGTCATAGTTTTCTGTCCATTGTTCTAAAAATTGTAGAGAGCAAAACACCTTCTCTTCCAGAAAGTTTTCCAAGGGAACTTGATTCTGTCCTACATAGGTAGGTGCCTTTGTTTCGTCTTCGTTTGTTTGTTTCTTTCCCCTTAACACTTTTTGTTAATGCAAATATTGATTCATTTCATTTTGTTTATATTTCAGTATGCTGAATAAGGACCCTTCACTGAGGCCGTCAGCTGCAGAGCTTTTAAAAACTTCATACATTGATGATCAGTTACAGGTATTTGGAATGACTTATTAGGTATGCTTAAAAACAGTTTTTATTTTTTTAAAAAAGGTCACTGTATTATATAAAAAACTGAAACCTATAAACCACAAAAGTACAATCATAAGTAAGGTTGCTCAGAAATACCAGTGAAATTCGTGAGAATTGTATCCAAGTCATTGATGTGTAAGATATTTGATCGAATATTCAATGAAGAAGGATCTGTATTATTATAAGACGAAGTGGCTATGTTGCTATAAGATGAACTGGATTTTTAACAGTCTGCATTCATATTCTGAAAATTCTACCTCCAATAAAGTTAAAACTTTTCATTTCATATGCTTAGAATTTGGTACAAGTGAAATAGGGGTTATCTGCCATTACTAGTTCAAATTTTCTGAAGGCTAGTTAGATTTCTCTCTCACAAACACACTCCTACACAGAGAGAGAAGACAGGCAGACAGACCGGGAGGGAGAGATCCCCTCCCCCAAATAAAAAAAGGCAGAGCAATTTTAAAATACTGACACAACTCACTAGTTGGAGACTTTTTTTTCCTCTCTAGGGAGAAATATATTTTGGATTTTGATTGCTGGTGCGGCATTTAAATATTTGGAACATCTCCAAGATCGTACTTCTATGCTTTTGATTAAAGTTCATATCAGTATCAAGCTGATAAGTGCTGAAAAGGCCCACTTTATTGCAAGTAAAGTCCTGGGAAACAAAATAACATGGCAATTATACACCATGCATGTAAAAACCATCCTTTAAAATAATCGGGAAATGCTATAACAAAAAAAAAAACAAAGTGGCATTTGCAGAACAGATTGCAATTGACTAGAAATGATGGCATTTCTTATTATACTGCAATCAAGGGCCTTTGCCCCTTTTAGAGAAAGAAATTATAGCTGGTGAAAAAAATAGGAAAAAGGGCTAAAGCAAAATGTATTAGTATTTATTTTTCTTTCCTAAGACATATACACATGAGATCTGTGGAGGAAAGTAGCTGTTAAATTTAGAGTAATATTTTAAAAATTCATTTGGGATTCTCTAAACTTAATCTACATAGTGGTCCTTTCCCCAACAGTGAATTTTGAGAATCTTACAATATAATGATACTGCAACTCCTATGTGTTTATTTTTATTTGTATCTCAGACTGAAACTTCTAATTTCTGTCCAGGATATCAAAAAATAAATACATGCTTTCTTATCCTCAGTCCTAATTCTAAATTCTTTATTTAAATTTATAGTTGTCTTGAAAAAATTAATAACTTGATTTCAATAGCTCCATCTCCTTTCTTCTCCATCATTTTTCTTCCTCCTCAAAGCTTGCTTTCCAACCAGTTTTTCAAGACATGTACATAATCCCGAGGTTGTCAGATATCTGTTAGGAAAAAAAATCTCTAAACTGTTAACCCTCTCTTCCAAGTCCTGTTTTCAAGAGAACTTTAGCATATTTCCAGAATAAAATGCACTGGAGTTTTAAGGCAAAATATCCACACTCTTGTGCTTTTAACAGGAAATAAAATAAAATAAAATAAAATAAAATAAAATAAAATAAAATGGACTATATTCCACATATTCCAGGTTCTTGGATTATTTTAAAGTACAAAGCTCCTCTATGTATGTGTTTAATGCATCCAATATATAGCCATTTAAATAGGAGAAGGAGACAGATAGAGGAACTGACCTGACTCTTAAGTCTTATTTCTCTCCTTACTGCTCCATAAGTGGGAAACACTTATGCTTATTTTGCCATGCCAAACATTGAGTTCAGAGGCTAATTTTTAGGAATGTAGAGAACACCCACAGTTTGCCTCAATGAGCCTCAATGAGATACTTCACCTTGTGGAAGTATGTTTCACTTTGACACAGCAAAGTGTTTTGCGGAGGTAAACCTCTTCACCTCAACCAAGGATAGAAGCTGGACCCACCCATGTGAAGCAGCTGCTCTGCTTTGCTAACAGTTGCTTCTGCCTTTGCAGTTTGGGGGTGGGGGAAGAGCCCTTGGATCAGGAACAGTTGTCCAGGGAAGGAGAATATGAGTTAAGCCAGGGTTCCTCAACCTCAGCAACTTTAGGATGGGTGGACTTCAACTCTCAGAATTCCCCAGCCAGTTTAAATGAGATATAGCAGATTCATTTTGAATAAGGCCATCAATGGTTGTATAATGGTTTTAATTAATTCATTAATTTGTATAGCCGCCCATCTGACAAGTGTAAGTGTAAGGGTGGCTCACAAGGACATCCCAATCCCATGCTACGTAGGGCTTCATAGATCATTATCAGCATGTTGAATTGCATCTAGAAGGACACTGGTAGCCAATGTAGCTCACAGAGCAGAGGTGTAATGTGCACTGCAAGAGGAGTGCACATAACTGCCTGCACTGCTGCATTTCACACCAGCTGCAGCTTCCCAGTGCTCTTCAAGGGCAGCCCCACATAGATCATATTAGGGTAATCCATTTGGGAGGTAACCAGGGCGTGAATGACACAGAGAGAGAGAGCCTCCCAGTCCAGGAAAGGGTGCAACTGGCGTGTAACATGCACCTCTGCCAAGGCCCTCCTGGCCATGGCTGCCACCTGCTCTTCAAACAGGAATCCTGAGTCCAGGAGGACCCCCCAGACTGTGCACTGTATCTGTTTGGAGCCGTGCCACCCCATCCAGAATAAGAGATGGTACATCCCTGGAACCAGAATGCCTCCAAACTCAAAGCCGCTCAGTCTTGCCAGAGCAGAGCTGAAGCCTGTTATTTCCCATTCAAGCCCCCACCCCCAGCCTTCAGACACTGAGACAGGACATCAACAGCATTGCTTAATTTGCCATGGGTGGAGATGTAAACCTGGGTATGATCAGCACATTGATGATACCTCACTCCATGACAACGGATGATCTCACCCAGCGGCTCCATGTAGATGGGGGGTGGGGGGGGGGGGGGGGGAGAGAGAGAGAGAGAAGAAAGCACTGAATCCTGCAGAATTATAACGTTTCACATAAAATCTCCAGTGTCAGGGGCAGCATGCCACTCAGTACCATGTGCCAATATATACAGTCGATCAGAGAAAAGGCCATTGAGCTACTAAAGGCCATTAAGGAAAGAGAACTTTAGTCTAATTCAGCAGGGATGTTCTTTGGAGATTACCTACTTCTTCCCTCTGCTAAGTGCAGAATCTGCTAGGCTGAATGCAACTTCTGTGTAGCATAACATGAATTCGCTTTGTAAAAGACCCAGAAATCACGAAACATTTCTGTGTAAAAAAAAATGTAAATTGTAACAATTCCTGTTTTCTCACAGATTATGAAATATAAACACACAAACGTGATCACAAAGGACTGGATATTTAATTCCCAGGAAGAAGCTGTTCATATAATGAGTGCTGTGTGAGTATGGGATTATTAGAGTTTTATAAAAGCTAAACCAAAATGGACTAACTACCAAAACGAAATAAAAAAGAAATTCATTCCCATGTATAGGTCATAATTTGTACGTATCTTTTGCCTCCCTCCCCAAGAAAACTCTTTACAGAGGATTGTAGGCATTAATAATACCATCAATTAATTTCCGATAACAAAGGTAATTGTGACATTTTTCTATGCCAATATAAACAGCACATTCTGTTTACATTATTCATGTCTTAAACTAATTTGAATAATACCAAAACACAATGGTGTAATATTGAACAAAGAGGGTAATTAAATTCTTATCTCTTTGGGTTTTAATTGGATCTGGCATTCTGTTTTCTTCTAACCCTAGTTTACAGTTTAATGCAGTTCCGTTCCATTAATCATCAATTACTGCTTTATTCTGCTGTGGCAATTATTTCTTTTGCAGTTTCCTTGCCTGCTGGAAGCAATGTTAATTGTCTTCAATACTAATGTAGCTACATTTTATTTTTCAAGATAGTTGGACATTGGTAAGGAAACAAAGCAATAGGTAGTACAGAAATCTCAATCTTTTTATTTTACTTGACAGAAATGCAGAGTCCAAGTATTATTTGGTTTACTAATGAGTAGCAAACAAGCAGAAGTGTGGCTTTAGCAAGTCAGCTGACTTTTATAGTACATTTCTATTCTAGTCTTTTGCTTGCTTTTTTCTCTAACCCTAACCGTAATCCTAACCCTTATTTTCTATGGTTTGCTGCTAAATCATATCTATCAATCAGTCAATCAAATTTGGCAACTTTAAGATGTGTGGTCTTCAACTCTCTGAATTCCCAGAGGAATGGCTGGCTGGTTAATTCTGGGAGCTGAAGTCCACAGTCTTAAAGTTGCCAAGTTTGAGAAAGACTGCTGTACAGAATCCCTCTCTCTTTCCAATCCTGATGTTTTAAATGCATCAACATTCTATCTGATCAGAATCTAGAAACTCTTTTAGCAGTTCTAAATTCTTAAGCCCAATAGCATTATCAGAGAGATTTGGCTGCTACAAAAATTGCTCTAGAGCTTTAACTTATTTCTTTCCTATTTTGAAAAGGAAGTTTGCATGAAGGAATTATAGCATCACAGAACTAGGCGGGGATCCCTTAGCCTATCTAGTTCAACTTTTTGCTGGATGCATAAGCACTGAGGATGTGGCAACAGGAAGCAACCACATGTTGCTACTTCTTTAAGACATCCTTAAACAAGTATTTTCCTGAGCCATATGGCCACTATAGGAGCCAAGGTAAAGTCATGGCTTCTTTAAGGAACAATCAACAGATAGAAAGAGAGTGCTGATGCTGCACCTGAAGCATCCTTGACCACTCTGGTTCTAAGTATTGCATATCATTGTTGGGTGCCTAGATTTCAGGATGGCCAGGAGCCACCTCTGCCCAGTTAAAATAGTGTGTCAACTGCATCCTTGCTGGAAATATCAGTTCATACTGTAAGTGCATCTGTTTTGGATTTTTAGTTGCCCCTCTCAAGGTAGTCTCAGAATGAATGTTATAATCCCCAAATACCAAAAGTCTTCAGGACCACCAAGTCTATCCATGTCAGTTCAGTCAGGGACTCCACTATGCATCAGGATGGCCGATTCACTAACAGGATCTTCCTTGTCCCCTGATCATCCAGAACAAAGTGTGTATCTTTAACTAGCAAAGTCCAGGATAGGGAATCAGAAAATGTAGATGAAAACTTCATGGGTTGTTGCAACAAGTTTGTAGCATTGCTATATTGAATAACAGATGACAGTTGGTGAGTCCAGACTGGTCTTTCCTGTCACATCCTGCTAGGCTTGTCTAGTATATATCAGCTAACCTCTTATCTATTGGAAGATCATGTTTTGTTTTCATAATCAGAGAACAACTTGCAATTCAACAGGAATGGCATTAAGTCATCAACCCAAATCCCCAGAGTACTTCAGTAAGTAGAAGAGGGGAGGTAGGATCTATTATAACTGAATGAGTCTGATCTCCCCAGACAGATCTGCCTTTCCTTTTCTACCATATCTCCTTTACCCCACAGAATGACAAAAGCAAACACAGATGAAAGAAAACGGAATAAAACCTTTTATTAAACCATCTTATTAAACAACAGAAACTCTAAACAGATGTCTTAAACACATGATCACCACCTCTCTAATTTCAGTCCAGTTTGTAACTATACCCAACACAGATGTAGGCTGGGGGGCTATCAAGAGCTATGGCTGCACTCTCACACCAGCCTTCTTCCTTGTTCCACCAATTCTCACTTGAGAGATGGATAAATGCATCTCTGACTAGCAATCCCAAGTTGTCACCTTGGGATAGCTCACAGCAGTCCCTACCCATATGCTAGACAAAGGAAGCTTAATTCTTGTTCTTATTACTTACTGAAAGAACAACCACCCACAGTAGCCCACTACACCTACCTGACAATACTTTGATAGTTTGCTCCTGATCTGGTCCTACCATTTTGTATTTATCATGATTGTGTTAGGTGTTGCTGGGTGGAGATTTTCAGCAGGAGGCCATGCTGACAGTATTTAAGGATGGCTGGTTGGAGGATGTTCTATGTAGCTGTTCCTCATTCTTTAATATCCTGCAGTCTAGTAGTCCTTCAGCCTCAGCAATCTTGCTGATTGTATTTATTGATGCTCCTACAAGCATTCAGTGCAAGAAGCTATAGGTAATCCCAGTTCATCTTCATTTTGCTCTCCACATTGATTTATATTTATATTTATATTTAT